AAAAAAAAAATCACACGTCATGTTTTCAATATGAAAAAAAAAAAATGTAATGTAAAAAAAAAAAGACACTAATACCGTGTATGAACTTTCAGCTTTTACACTGTTGACTCAATATAATGTGAATTGAGTGTAGGCCTATTTCTTGTATTTATAGACTATCATAACAATCATATTATTTTAAACATATTTAATAAAATTAGAATTTGAAATAAAAATATTTTTTATGGTAATTTGATTTATGCAAGTGTTCATTATTTCATAAAAATGGTATGAATAACATGTAGAGTAGAATTTGTAATGTATATTTTCCTTTACCAATTCAATAAATAACTAGATCTAGTTTTATTATCAACCAGTTTTTTTTTGTTATTTTCCGGTGAGTTAATGACCTAAGTTGACACAATTAATGGCGGGAAATAAAAGCTTGTGTACACAAGTCCACGACCTCATGTTATGCCGGCAGGGGGGCAAGAACGTGGTTTTGGCTTTCATTTTCCATTCTAGGATAATTTTAAAATTCTCTCTTTTCTCGTCAACTGAGTAAGATAGATATTTAAATGTGGTGTCAAATGTTCTCTTAAGGGGTAGGGACTTAATGGTGTATTTGAAATAACAGAATATTTATTTTTTAAAAATCCATAATTAACACTATAATATATGATAAGTGACAGAAAATTTTAATTAAAAAATTTAATAAGAAAATCTACTAGGCTAATACATTACTAGATTAGCTTTGTTGGAATTTACATAGGGCAGGAAACGGATTGGTATCGCAAAATGCATATTCGATCTTCGCTGTTCATAAACTTTCTAACCAGACATCGTTCGGGGATTTAGTTTATACTAATAAATAGAGCGATGTTTCTACAAGCTACGTTAGCAACATTTTTGTGGTATTTGTTTGTTTTTTTACATTTTGTGCCACTGTGAAGGATGCGAAGTATGCAAATCTAGACGATTTGTTGGAATTTACATAGGGCAGGAAACGGATTGGTATCGCAAAATGCATATTCGATCTTCGCTGTTCATAAACTTTCTAACCAGACATCGTTCGGGGATTTTGTTTATACTAATAAATAGAGCGATGTTTTTACAAGCTACGTTAGCAACATTTTTGTGGAATTTGTTTTTTATGACATTTTGTGCCGCGGCGAAGGATGCAAATCTAGACGGAATGGATCTACTTGGAAAAGTACGTGTACTGCACTAATAAGGTAAGAAATAATATTTTGTACAAATAACTATTATTTTTATGGATTTTTCATTAGAAAAGATTGCTGTAAATTATGAAAGTTAAAAAAAGTATATTTGAATGCGTTTTTTACTTTAATTTGAACAAAATGAATAGCCATAGTTACAACACATCGGCGTCGTTGAAAGCGGGGATTTCAGTTAATTTTTTACGGATATAAAATTGTATTTTTTTCCTCCGAGGCATGTATTTAAATAACAGTTTAGTTAAATCTATTTAATTCTGTAAAATATAAGTATTATTTTGCCGTAGATACTTTTTAAATTTTTTTTAATGATTTACTGTTGGGGAAAATCAATATTCGCACCATGCACGCATGCGTAGTAAAACTAGACTTATCTTTAAAACACGAGAATCTTGAGTACACTGCGAATAATAAAGTTTTTAAATTTTAATTTACTTTTGACTTTAAGCCACTTGTTTTAAATCAAAATTAATTGATAATGTAATTATTTCAAAGTAAAAATTTTCTGTCTGAGATCGGGTTCTAACCTTCGCCCACTGAACCAGCCTTAGCACATTCGCGCGAGTCTTTTTCTTCGCAATAATCTAATAGTGTCGAGGGCTAATTCTAAAAAAAGAATCGATTCCTTACTAATGTAATGTTTATTAAAATTAGGTACAATTGTTGGAACGCATGAGAAATAACAAATTAATATTTGTTTAAATCTATAGCCAAAAGAAAGTAGAACTTTATAACTCTGTAAATTATGAATCAAGTGACGGCTGTCGTGAAAACAGGAGCCATTTTACTCTTTTTTTTAGGGTGACCTACTTTTATTATATAAGTTTAAAATTCATGGATTTGATAAGCAGCTGAGTAGCTGACTACGCATGGGATATGGCTGGTACGTTTTGGGATAGGGATCGAGTACACCATAGAATTTTTTTTTTCTTAGAACTCAGCGTATTTTTTTTTAAATCAAAAGATACTTACATATCAGTTGTTGATTTCAATTTCATTATAGATCTAATCAATAACTTCTGTTTTTAAAAGTGATTTTGCTTCTACATCTAGCGTATTTTCAAAATTATGTAGATCTAGATCTATTTACTATTTGACAACCGTGTCAGTAAAATGAGGTCACCGCTTCCAGATTGTTAAGTTTTAATTATATTTGTCCTTTTGATCTATTATAAGTAGCATTAAAACGACTGCATCTATCATCAACATTGTTTTTATAGGCCAGTTCTAATTATACATTCTGTTCATTACCAATTCTAATGAAATCGTATCAGGCCCTAACACCCTGTTCACCTACACTGACACTACACTATTTGAATGAGGCCCCAGACAGTCGTAACTTTAAATTAATGTTTAAAGTACTAAACAATTATAATTAGCCATGTAAATGCTGCAACTCTAATAAAAATTGGCATATAGACATATTTTACTAATAATGTTTTTTATATAGACCTTCTATATTTAACTCTGTTATTTTTTTCTTCCCCAGAGTGTTTCTAAAAGCCAGAATTTTGAACATTTTTTTAAAGGGGATGGCGGTTGTTTTTTTTATCAAGAATAATTATAGAAATAAGCTATAAACTGGTATATTTTGTAAAGTTTGACATAATTACAAATAAATTTATGCCTAAGTGACATTTCTGTGTAATTAGCCTATATTGTTAATTTTGTGAATTTCGTGGATTTTTATACCTTATGTAAAAAAGAATTTTCAGTTGAGTGAGTGTGGTTAATCTACATTTTGAAGGGTGTGGGGAAATTGCGAGACGCGAAAAGCGAAATGGCGAGGCGGGAAAATGCGAGAAGGGCACGAAAACGGTCGGTCACGTGACTTTTTTGTCTCGCATTTTACCACAAGCCGATACTTACGCTGGGTGGTGTTGAAATGCGAAGATTTCTGCGAAAAATTTACCGCACCCGATTTTCAGTGGTATTTGGTCCAGACTTCAAAGACGTTTCGTTTACATTGTTAAAACTTCCGATTTTTCCGTCGCTAGACATACTGATGATTTGTCAACTCCCCCCATCTTTTGTGTCGACTTAGAATACCACCTTGTTCGAAACCGACAGAAATACCGCCGACGATAGATCAACTTCTGTCTTTTGTGTGGAACGCCGAGGCCGCCTGATTTACCGTCTTTGAAGATCGCCGTGCCCGGATCCGCTGCCGCCGCAAACATATTTTCTATTGTTGCATAGAAATTTTGTATTATAGCCGCCGCCTATGATTTTTTCTAGCTTTTTTTACCATATAAATCTAAGCACAAGGAAATGCCTACATCATTTGGATACAACAAAATAAAGTGACGTCGCCGATATTATCAGTTGCTCGTGCTATATCGTAAGCTATGGGCCTACTTCAAATATTTTTAAAACCAAGTTGAACTTATCTGAATTTTTTGGTTTTGGTGGTGGTGTTATTTGGGGTCTTCCATAAATGACGTCACACTCGTAGGGGGGGGGGGTCTGTAATTTTAAGACGATGTGTGATGAGAGGGAGGGGGGGGGGTTAGATGTGAAGTCACACTATAAAAAAGCAATGTTAGAAAAAGAATTTTAGACGTTTTTTCGCATTTTAGAAAACTGTTTTAATACATTGTAATAGGAATTGATTAGAATACTCTATTTTGACCGAAATTAGACAAGATTTTGAGAAAATATCGATGTTTTAAAAAAACTCAACTGCTGGTGACAACAATGAGCAAGACATTGCCAAAATTACAGAAATGATAAAAAATACAAATTATAAAAAACAGAAAACAGATGTTGAGCGTGCGGATGATGATGATGAGAACATGGGTGCCAGTGTTGTTTGTGGGATGAACGAGGAGGTCAACTGTGATGAGAATGTGAAATGTTGTGAATGTGGATTGAAAGAAGTAGCAAAAGAAAAATGTATAAATGGCAGTCTAATGAACTATGTTGGGTGTACTATGTGTGAAAGATGGTGTCACGAGGTGTGTTTGAGGACTGTTTCACAAGATTTTGTTTGTAAATTTTGTTTGTAATTAAAATTACTTAATAAAAAAATAAATTGCACTTTTTAGAATTGTTTATACTTTTACACTTTTTGCAAGTACAAAAATCCATAAAAATATGTTGCAAAATATCTCTCCTGCTGACAAGATTATACCAATTCACAATGACACAGCTCACGTTTGTATAAACATGAGCGGGCTAGATTTTCAAATTAATGCCGACTGAGACGGGATTTTCCTCTCGCTAACAAGAGCGGGCGATGACAGTAGCACAGCAACGAGATGTTAGGATTTTTAAATAGATAGATATAGATCTATCTATCTTCTTAGTATCTAGATAAAAATAACAACATACAACACTCGTGTTAAAGGGTATGGCTAAATGCTTGTTTATTTTAAAACAAAAAAAATAATTTAAATAAAGATGGGAAAAAAAAAGGAAAAAACTTTTTTCGCAAAAAGTGTCTCGCTATTTACCCTTAATTCCGCAGGTATGTCTCGCATTACCTTCTCGCATTTTCCCGCCTCGCCATTTTGCGTCTCGCAATTTCCTCGCACCCCATTTTGAACGTGATGTATATGTCTAGTGCTATTAATTTTTATATTTTTGAATTCCTCGATTGTTAAGCAACATAATTGATATAGATCTATAATATGTCAATATTTGTTACTTTGAAAATTGGCGAAAATTGACCCTAAAAGACAAAAGTAGATGCTTGAGGGTTGGATCTGTTTCCTGCCATAGCAGTAGCTAAACTAAAACTAAGGTATTACCAATAAATGTAGGCCTAAATATTAGATTCACCTTCTATGCAAACAACATGCTCCCTAATTTGCTGTTGTATCAATGGATCAGGAATTGCTTCTATGAGATCATAGATAGCGTAGATGCTTGGATGGACACTCTCGAAACGTTGAATCTCTTGTCGAATGGCTAGAGAGTTACTCCAGTACGACTGCATCGGACTCCTGGCATTCATTCTTACTGCCTTGGAAACTCATCATTTAGATCTAGATCTATATTGTAATCCAAACATTTTGTAGTAATTAAAATTATATTAAAAATGTCTTAATCTAGATTAGATTTAGAATCGAGATCTAGATTTCTAGATCTATTATTGAGAACTAATATAAATACAACCATTCCACTTAAGATGGCTTACGCAGTGCGCATGCGTAGTACGCTTTTTTGTAAAAAAAATAAATAAATAAAATAAAATTAAAATAATTTTAAAAAAAAACACCGCCTGGGGTTGTTGTTTTTTTTTTTTTACGTCAATTGACAATAAATCATAGACTGGAGCTCTAAATCGGAGGCATTCTTATTCTTAAGGCCCAAGTATTAACTTATTACCCCACTTGATTGCAAACAGTGTTTCTTCCAGACTTTATTCTCCGGGGGGGCACTTGAAATTTTCGGGGGGGGGGGGGGGGGGCGGTAGACTTTCTTCGGGGGGGGGCGGACACTGTTAAAAGTATATATTTTCTATATAAATTATATAAATTTCATTTCGTTCGGGGGGGCGGTAAAAAATTTTCGGGGGGGGGGGGGGGCCCCGAAGAGATGCCTGGTAGAAACTCTGATTGCAAAGTATAATAATTGACTATAGAGTGTTAATTATCGTCACCCGTCAAAATACATAGATCTAATCTATATCGAAGCCATAGTAAACAATTTTTCTTGTTTTTTTTTAAAGGCTTCCTAAAAATTGAAATATAGATTATCTAGTTTTTACTTTCTCGTATATACGAAGTATAGAGAAAGTATTGTAATCGTGCACAAAAATAACATGAAATTTTGACAGTTTTCACCGTTTTACTCCTCAGTCCTTCATCACATCCGGAGTATAGAGGACTTATTTTAATCAGGCAAAAATTATAAATACAAATATATAAACATTTTGGCGTTTTATGCGTTATCGAGTCGTAAAAACTGGACTTTGCAATTCTGTCCGCATGTCTGTGTGTCTGTGTGTAAACACGATAACTTGTGTACCGTTACAGCTAGGTCGATGAAATTTCATATATAAGTATTTTATCAAAATCGTAGATTCTGATCAACTTTTGAGTGATTTCCGATAACCGGAAGTGGTACTTTTTCTACTTTGAATTTTTAAAAAGCCTTTAACTTGAGTACTATTTTAGATAGATAAATGAAATTTCACATGTAAGTAAAAGATCTAATTCTCTACCTTCTGTCAAATTTTGAGTAATTTCCGTTGATTGAAAGTACTAATTTACGCTATTTCCGATTTCTAAAAAAACGAATGTAAATTTATTAAGTACTAATAATATTCCGCACTATTATGCACGTTTTATTGGCGTTCACAGGCAGAGGCGTAGCGAAGGGGGGGGCAGGGGGTACATATGTCCCCGGGCGCCGACCTTAGGGGCGCCAAAATGGGTTGGAAATACAGATTAAAATCTCAATTAAGGTGCAGTTTTGCATTATAAATATTTAAAAAAATATATGGGGGGGGGTTGCAAATGGAAAGTTTGAGGGGGTGTGCAAATGGAAAGTTTGAGGGGGTGTGCAAATGGAAAGTTTGAGGGGGGTGCAAATTGAAAATTGAAGGTTTGTCCCCGGGCGCCGGGAAGGGTCGCTAAGCCTCTGTTCACGGGTGTGCAATTCTTTTTTCTACGAGATTTTATTCTATTTTTAAAAATGTAAGTATTTAAAATGGATTAAAATTCATGTCTATATCCCGAGTTCCCATCCCCTGTTTTTTTATAAAAGAATATTCGAGAAAGTTTAGGGGAGATCGCTCCCGGTTTATTTATAGATATAGCCAACTTGGCTATGAATGTATCATAGTAGCATACCCGTCCTGCGCGTTGCTGCGGTCTGACGCAATATTTTAAGAGGATTTTTTAATGCCAATGCGTTAACATTCGCGTATTTGGACGCGTGATCTTCGTTTCTAAACTATTTAACTGGAAACTATGTAAACAATGCCGGTACTGTAATAATTCTTGGATCTTAGTTGTTATGGCGCGGGTTTGTAGACGCAGGCACCCAGACGTCCCACGCTTATAGTATGAAAATCTTGAGTGCACGTTAATCACCCTCCATAGCGGTGCCGCCGCGTTACACTAACGCAAGGGCGGCGGGTGCACTGTTGTCTGTTGTTGTTTTTAAATGATGCTATAAGTATATTTTACTACAACACCTAACTTAATTTCCATATTGTGCATTTTTGTTCTATCAAAGCCCGAGGTCCGTCTGAGATTAATAGCTTGCGAGATCTATATCTCTAAGACATCCGAGAATCCTCCCTTCATTATTGTTGACATGTAATCTAGAATATGTTTACTTTCTCGTATATACGAAGTATAGAGAAAGTCTTGTAACCGTGCAAAAAACATCGAGATTTTTGCAAATCTCGACGTTTTACAGCTCCCTGAGTAAAAAAAAACACAGTTTTGCTATCTTGTCTGTATGTCTGTGTGCGTGCATGTGTGGATGTGTGTGTGTCTGTAAACACGATAACTTGAGTACCGTTATAGCTAGGTTGATGAAATTTCATATATATAAAGTATTATATCAAAATCATACATTCATATCAGCTTTTGAGCGATTTCCAATAACCGGAAATGGAACTTTTTCTACTTTGAATTTTTCAAAATCTTATAACTTGAGTACTGTTTCAGACAGATAAATGAAATTTCATATGTAAGTAAAAGATCTAATTATATGCCTTCTTTCAGATTTTGAGTCATTTCTGTTTACCGGAAGTAGTAATTTTCGCTATTTCCGATTTCTCGAAAAACGCATGTGAATTTATAAAGTACTATTAATATTCCGCATTATTATGCACATTTTATTTGGCGTTCTCTTGGTGTGCAATTCTTTTTTCCTACGAGATTTTTTCTATTTTTAAAAGTTTAAGTTGTGATAGATTGGAATCACTGACGAGAAGCCACATTGGTTGTTAACAGTAGTTTATTCACACCATGAGGAAAGAGAGAGAGGGCGGAAGTAACGAGACACTTATATACATAAACATGTAAGGGACATCACTCAAGATAACAATATAAATATAATACTAATACAGAAGAGTGAGTTCCCTTGACTTCACAAGTCTCACTATATTACATCCCTTTACCCTTAGTAAACACAACACATCTCTCAATAGAACAATTTACAGTATCCTAAAATCACCAATGAGAAATTATATTGTAACATGAACCAGTGGCGTAGCGAGGTCGGGTGTCACCCGGTGCGGCACTTAATGGTGTCACCCCCCAGAGGCGTAGCGACCCTTCCCGGAGACAAGTTTTCGATTTGCACCCCCCCCCCCCCTCAAGTTTTCGATTTGCACCCCCCCTTTCAAGTTTTCGATTTGCACCCCCCCCCCCCTCAAGTTTTCGATTTGCACCCCCCCCCCTCACACTTTCGATTTGCACCCCCCCCCCCTCAAGATTTTCTCTATATATTTTGCTATTTTTAGCCTTGGTGTCACCCCCCTAAATGGTGTCACCCGGTGCGGTCCGCACCCCCCGCCCCCCCCCCCCTCGCTACGCCCCTGACATGAACACTATGGTAGATTACATCCTTACAAACAATGCACAATATGTTACAACACAATTAAAATACAAACAATGATGTCAAAGTCCTTTTGACCTTTAAATCATAGGTCTAACTTATTTGGGACTTTGATTGTCCTGTTTGACCTTCTCAGTGGCTTTTGATTTGGTGACTCAATATTCTGACCATTTGGATTCTCTATCTCAGGAGGTCTAGGATTTAAGTCATTAACTCCAGAATTTACATTTTCTGACTCCAGACTTCTTGGTTCACTCATATCAACAGAACTTGGTTGTGGAACAAACTGAGTTGGTGTGAACTGATCAGATTTGGTGGGATTGATAGATTCACACTTATTATCTGCACAAGTTATTTTTAACTGGTCTGCATGTCTACGGACAATAAGTCCATCATTTGTTTTTACTTTATAAGACACAGGTCCTGTACATTGAACAATTTGACCTGGTATCCATTTTTCCTTTTTCCCATAATTTCTTAGATACACATTATCATTAACTGCAAATTCTCTTTAAGACATTTGAAATTGCCATATCAATATAATCATTTATTAAGTTACAAATACTTTGTTTAGGCAACTCTGACTGATAATGGACTGCATCTTCTCCATCTTTTATATTATCTTCCATTTTCCTTATTTTACATGGCCTTAAGTCATCATTCACAGACTCTTCAGGCCAACCATTTTTACAGTACTCATATACTTTTATTAAGCACTCATCTTTTTGTGTTTCTCTTTTAATATCATTCACATTTATATTGGAGTTATCCATGATAGTGAAGAGAACAAATACATCTTCTGGTACATAGCTAAGGCTTTGGTTTTTTAAAGGTAATCTACTAAGACTATCTGCACTATTCTCAGATCCAGGTTTGTATTTCAATTCATAATTGTATGCAGTTAGTGTGATAGCCCATCTTTGAATTCTTGGTGAGGCATGCTCAGGTAGGGGTTTGTTTTCCCCAAATAAACCTAGCAATGGTTTATGATCTGTAAAGATGGTGAACTTCCTACCAAACAGAAACTTATGAAATTTCTTAACACCAAAAATGATGCCTAAGCCTTCCCTATCTAACTGAGAATAATTTTTCTCAGCCTGGTTCAAAGATCTACTGGCAAAAGCAATGGGTCTGTCACCCTTCTCATCCATGTGGGACAAGACTGCTCCTACACCATCTGGTGAAGCATCACATGTTAATATAAGTCTTTTCCCTGGGTCATAGTGAGTTAGTAAGGTGTCAGAAGACAAAGCCTCTTTTGCTGTATTAAAAGCAGTATCTTGTTGTTTACCCCAGTGCCAAGTTGCAATTTTCTGTAGCAGCTTGTACAGTGGTGATAGTTTACCAGACAGATTCCCTATGAACTTTGCATAGTAATTTATCAAGCCCAAAAAAGCTCTTAGTTGTTGGGTATTTTCAGGTTTGAGTGCTTCTTTAATGGCTTTTGTTTTCTCAGGTTGAGGTCTGATGCCTTGTTTGCTCAATATATAACCAAGAAAACTAATTTCTGTCAGCATGAATTGACATTTATCTTTGTTTATCTTTAAACCTTTTTCACCAACTATTTTTAAGACTTTATCTAGTGTGTTAAGATGTTCAGTGTCATTCTTACCAGTTA